GGACTTAAAGCAACACTGCAGCTCTGATTTTGATGAGAGAATAACAATTTAAAGTGCAAAAAAGTTAATTTTAACTAACGCCACTCCTTTAATAATTAAAATTTTACAAAAAGTGAGTTAGGGTTTTCTAAATATCCAACCTTTCGGATGTTCAATCATTTATAGAACGGCTTCAGACGGATTCTGCACATCTTGCTTACATTATCTGCCCCTCCTCTTACAGCTCCTCTCTCTTCCTCTCTCAATTACTCCTCCCCATCTCCTTATCGCTCGTTCCTTGGTGTCCTGTTGCATGCCTCGGTCCACCTACAGCGGCTGCACTCCTCATTAGACATGCAGCCTAAATACTGAATGCTCTATTTACAGTTACGCCTTTCATGTCTCCAGCACGCTCCACACCTTCCGCTGTCTTTCTGCATTTTTTAAAAAACTCATCCACCCCTCGGTGCCCTCACCTCCTCGTCCATAAGTCGCATATTTGTCCCTTTTTCTTGCCGGCGGGGTTAAAATGTTACACATTGTAAACGTTACTCACTGTACAACACCAGCTGTATTGGGTTTCAGTGGCAGACTTTGTGTTTGAACTACTCTGGCAATTAGTAGAGGATTGCCTTACAGAGCACCTCCTTCCACAAAGCAGGGCCCGGCCCGGCCCGGTCCAACAAGCCGTTTTGCCCCTCTCCATCTGTCAGTCCTGTGGGACCGAGGGAGACGCAGGATGTGTGCGCCGCGGTAATGTTTGAACCCTGTTTTTGTTTGGACTGTTATTCATACAAAATTTGGCAAATAAGAAGAGCTTTGGTTCTGAAGATGTGACGTCAACTCAGCATTGGGGACCGTTTCTAATTTTAAGATATTTTGTCATGACCACACATATTTTTAGGGAGCGTTCACACCAGCTCCATTTTTGTTTTTAACACAGATCCGATGTTAGATTTCTAACTTTGTTTTTTTTTTTCTAATAAAACGCCTTTGATTATGTTAGGTTGTGTTCACGCCAGCCTTTTTTGTCCACTTAAATTGAATTCTGGTCTGCAGGAAGTGGACTACGGCGCAGGGCATGCTGGGTAAATACAACCAAAACAAAGATGTGAGTCTGGCACTAGTGGGAGAAATTACTCGTCATCTTTTACGAGTTCAATTTAAAAATACTTTATTAATCCCAGAGGGAAATTAAATACCACAGACAAGAGAAATCTTACAATCACTAAAATCTGATGCAACTCCAATTTTGTTTACATTTTATGAAGAAATGTAAAAACGTAACATTTTTCCCATGTTGCGCTCAGACTTCAATTAATACTTTTTTAAATGTATATTAAGGAATTATTGACTCAAAACAAGCTCATCTGTCTTTCTGAAAAATTAGTTATCAGTTAGTTTTGTCTTATTTCAAGTGTAATGAGATATTTGCACTAGAAACTTGACCAAAAATACTTGGTAAAATGTTGTGTTTTTGCTGTGTACCAGATAAATGCTTGACAACTGTATATACTTTCCAAATGTTTGTGTTTTAAATGTCTGTCTGTAACAAGGATAAAATAGAAATTAACGGTAATTTAAAGAAGCCCAGTTTTACTACGTTCCAGAAACAAAACTATGTCAGAAACAGAACCGTATCCATTTTTGATGTTGTGTGTTTCACTCTTTGTTTGTAGATGTAGTCAATATTATATTGTGCTATTTTAAATGATTATCATTTAAATTTTTAGAGGTACTTTTTAAAGGCCCATCCAGGGACAAGTGCTGTGAATTAGCTGCTGCTATTGCACTATGATGCAAACATGGGGCTGGTGTTTCTGTTCAGTTAGTCTGTGTCGATGTGCGCCTGTCCCTGTTAAATAAACTTTTCTTATTGATACTTAAAATAAAAACACCTGACAAACACGTGGTTGGTTTTGTTCAAAGACCTGTATTTTCCACCTGGAACTAGGAAAAGTTTACTTTTAATGGTGCTCAGACGATCGCTAAATCGAGAAACTTTATTGCTAATCACAATTTAATGAAGTGGAGCTCTGGACTTTGATTGGACCATTTCAGTAAATTGAATCTGTAATTTTGCAGATTTGATTTCTTTAAATCTATATAAACCTGCTGGAACATTCCTTCTTGAAAAACCAAACTGGTTTTTAATGTGCTCTACAAATAAAAACTGTTTTCCAATGAATGATTAGGTGTTTAGGCGTCTTTACGCTCCTTTTGCTGCTAATTTCCAGCACCCAGTTTCTAAAATTTGGCTTCACTACAAAAACAAACACATAAACCACCAAGTGTTTCTAGTTACTTTCTAGTGCAAACATCTTGGTTTTATTTCAAGTCTACTAAATTGCAAGTAACTTCAGAAAGAGGGAGGAATTTTTAAAGTAAATTATTCCTTCATATTGATTAAAAGATCATTTCACTTATAAAAAGACATTTTCCCTTGTTACAGAGAAATAATCTGTTATGGAACAGGAACTTTCTCATCAATATTAAATAATTTTTTACAAGCTTTTATATATTGATGAAAAGTTACTTGTAAGTTAGTTTCGCCTTAATTAACATATTTGCACTAGAAAAATATTTGGTAACATTTTATGTTTTTGCTTGTTTCATCCCTCCTTTTTCAGTGTAACTTAACTACACTGTAAAAACACAAAATGTTACTTATTGTTTAGTTTCTAATGCAAATACTTCAGTAAACCAATGCCAAATTAGTTTTGTCTATTTGAAATAAGCTAAAAAGTTTCATATCTTTTTTTGAGTGTACTTAGATATTTTTATTAGAAATTTGACACAAAAAACTGGGTAAGATTTTATGTTTTTGCAGTGTAGTTATGTACAAACCATGTTCTTATTAATGCGTTTGTCATGTTTTTAAGAAAAAAAAATTCTCTGTAAATAAGCAAAGATTCCTGATGTTCTGAACATCTTACTGACCCAAATATTTAGCAAATGTGTTGAGTCTTCTTTACTATAATTAGCATGAGCTCAGCAACCGGTGATGACAAGCCCCCACTTCAGGGAGGCTCAAATCACACACCAGTGTTTTAAGAAATGCTTTTCTAACTCTGGCTATTATAAATACATTCTCTTAAATATAGATTCCTCTATCTGCCACCGCAGCAAGTAAACAGGCTGGCTTGAAAGAGTCGGGAATGTCACGTTGTTATACAACATCTCATGTGACAGTTGAGACGTTACACTCATAAATCACTCTTGGCTCGGCCGTGAAGCTCGGTAAGAAGCATTCTTTAGGATTTCTAGGAAAAAAGCTCCTCCTGTTTTTTATTGGTTTGTTTCTAACTCTGCGTTCTGCTGCGGTGTCGCAGTTGGAGGATAAATGCGAGAACGTGCAGCACACTCCACCCTGGGGCCTCCAACCTTTTCCAGGCCTCATGATTGACACTGATATCTGTCACAGTACACCTTACAAGGAGGAAGCTGCTGTTCGGATTTCAACAGGAGTCATAGCTCCCCCTTGTGAAAGGGAGGATACTGACAGCACTTTTTTTCAAAGGTGATCTTTTATGCTTCCTTTAACAGATTAGCATAAGTCTGTGGGCTAAACAAAACATGTTTATTATGCATTTTGCAAAAAATCATTCCTAGATAATGAGATTTTGGTCTGTAAGTTCAGAATGAGCTGTTTTAGGTGTCCTGATGCTTTAAATGGAAATAAGGTACTGCTGGTACTAAGCATTCACCCACAAGACAAAATGGCTGCAAGCAGATGAAAAATTAACCAACTGTTGGGGCTGGACGATGTATTAATAACAAAGTATATACACAATAGACACATCAATATTCTACATCAGTAGATTTAGAATATCTGAATCTAGAACTGCAAAGCATTCTGGGAGCTGTAGGCTTAAGAAAGGGTTTAGCTGCTCAACCTCTCACTGCTAGCCAAGCTAGGTTTGCAACATCAACTCACTCGCTCTCTGGTTACCTAGCAACAACCTGTTGATGAACTTGCACAGCAGCAGTTTCAGGTTTTGTCACCGTGTGTCATAACTGCTTAATAAACAAAAACAAAACAACAACAACAGCATGGAGTGAAAAATTTAGATAAAACAGTAAAGGTAACACCATCGGTTTGGCAGATCTAACACAGGGAACTAATCAATAATTATTGATATAGACAATTATTGACTGATATGACAAGCTAATATCATTGTTGGTTTTTCAGCCATATCGTCCAGCCCTCACAACATCTTTGAACAGTTCAGCTTGGGTGCCAGGTGACAAGGCGGGGCTTCACCGTGGTTGCTAGGCAATGCCCAGTTTGACATTACATTTGGGAGGTTTTTCAAACTGCTCATTTTCCACGCACCAAGAACCTGCTGGGTGTTTTTTTTTTCTTCCTTTTTTTATTTTAAATCACTCCAGCTGATTTTTAGAAGCAGTTGAGACCAAATGGAAACACAAAAAGGTGCAAAATCTGAATTTTACAGAACAGGAAATAGTTCCTCTTTCAATTGATCTAAATTTAACTTTATTTCCAATCAAAAAAGCCTTGAGCAGAAATGTTGCAGATCATGGAATGTTTTTAATTTATCATAATGTCTTTAATGTCTGATTTTTTTTATTTTTTTTTATTTTACGAAAACAAGAAAACCGGTCATCCAACTAAAAAAATAAGTTAATTGTTATAAATAATCAAATTATGTTCATCAAAGTAAATATATTAATATTATTAAGTTGTTCAGTTAAAAAGCATAAATAAATTTCAGTTAAATAAAATAAGTACATTTTTTAAGTTGGAGCTCCTTTCTCTTTTTTAGTGCATATTCCGTATTCTGTTCCGTGTCTTTTTTTTCTATTTGTAAACAAACATTTTTAAATTTTTTAAAAATTTCTCTGTTATGACTACTGCCAAGAAGTGATCGTCGCCTCTTCTCTGTAGCTCAAATCATTTATAAAATGAGGAAAACAAATAAAAGAAGTGAGCGGACAAACGGACAGGAAAGGAGGGAGGGGAGCTACAAGCTGTCGTATTAATCTGCACATTTTCTCAGATGACGCAAAGACTGTGGCTTTGCCTCCTGTCGCCTCTTCATCTGCACATCACTGCTCTGCGTCGCTCCCGATGCCTCGCTCCAGTCGGATGGGAGACACTAACGCACCACAGGTAAGCCTGCTCACCTTTTCCCTGACGCATAAATTCAAAACCATCTTTATTTATCATGTCCTCCATGCTCCTTCACTGCAAAAACACAAACTCTCAACAAGTATTGTTGACTACTGCAAATAAGACAAAATTAACTTACATGTAATCTTTCTTCAAGAAATATGAACTCCTTAATATTGATTATTTTTTATTAATAATTTCAAAATAAGCTTCTGTATCTTTCTGAAAATTTTCTTCTAAGTTAGTTTTGTCTTATTTCAGGAACACTAAGATATTAGCAGTAGAAATTAGACAAATAGTTGATCAAACTTGGAATTTTTGCAGTGTAAGCGTTGTACCTACAAATGAGGTTTACACTGCAAAATCACACAATCTTATTAAATATTCAAGTGCGAATATCTTAACGCACTTTAAATAAGACAAAACCAAATTACAGTTAACTTTTCAGCAAAATACAGGAGTGAATAATTTGTTAATATTGATTAAAAAGTCTCACTGGAAAAAACTCAGAAAATGTTTAAGATTAATTTTTATAAGTATTTTTTTTTAACTATTGGAGGTCATATAATTAAAAGAACATTTATGAGCTTAATCTCAAAATGTTTTACTTTTTTTGGTTAAAAATGACTCCTTTTTTATTTTTATCCACAATAATAATATTATTAGTATAAATATAAAAGTATATAAGTATAAAAGTAACTTACAAGCAACTTTTCAGCTTTATGTTGGAGTTTGTTTACAGTCAATAATTCCTTTATATTGATTTTAAAAGTATTTATTCCATGGCCAGATTACTGAACCTATAACACATTTTTCTCATGTTATAAGTAAAATAATCTTCCAGTGAAACAATTTTTTTTTTTTATCAATATAAAGGAATTCTTGACTTAAAACAAGTTGCTATATCTTCTTACTCGTTTTGTCTTTCTTCAAACTTACAAAGAGATTTAGACTAGAAACTAGACCAAAAACTTTTGGTAATATTTTGTGTTTTTGCAGTGTATAGAGGAATAATGAAGAAGAATTTACTTTTCGGAGGCAATGAGCTGGGTGAAATTCAGTTTTGCTGGATTGGGAAGAGCAGATCAAAGTGATAAAAATGGGGAAATGAGGGAGTTTATTAATAGCAAGGCTTTACGGGGTGAAGAGAGCAGATGTGATAGACAGTCTGTGCTTAAGGAGTTCAAACAACAGATTAATACACTGCGATTATCATCCAGCCGAGGGCAGGGGAGTGTGTGTTGGTGTGTATCTGACATGTGTCCACTGAACACAATCATGCACATGCACGGGTTTTGTCTCACTTACACACATGCACACATACATGCACACATACATACACACACACAGACACACACACAGAAACGGCAGCTCCAATTTAAAATCAGAACAAAATCCTGGAGGTACCTGAATCCTAAATGATCCGGGTTTTCAACATAAAACACATAAAAATACATAAATAAACTATTTTACAGATTTCTGGTTCCACAAAGTAAAAATTATGCACACACAGAAGAATATCAGTTACTATCTCTTTTTTTTCTTATATTGTCGAATATTATTTCAATCCAAAATAGGAAATTATTCCTTCATATCGATGAAAAAGTAATAGTTCCAATGACAGATTATTTCACTTATGACAAGTACTTTTTCATTAATATTAAGGAGTTATTTACACAGAAGAACCTGCCCCCATCTACCTGCTGGAGAGCAAAAAGCTGCTCGCTAACGATGATTAGCATTGGTTTTAGCTGCTAAGTTGTCAATTTATTGCCCTAAATCTTAAATGTGAAAAACACAAAGACGCCATGCTTTGCTACTTTTTATCTGCGACAACTAGATAAAAAGGTCAGGAAAAGTTTTAACTTAAAAAAAATGTTGAGGGAAAGGGAAGTAGCTCAGTTATGCTAGCTTGACTTTGACAACCTCAACATGTAGATGTGCTGTGGAATTTGGTGTTTCGGTTCAGTTAAAAACCGAAACACCATAAATCTTACTTGTAAGTTAGTTTTGTCTCATTTCAACTGTTCGATGACTAAAAACTGGACTAAAAATACTTGGTAAGATTTTGTGTTTTTGCAGTGCTATAATGAAAAACCCAGAACTATTCAATCCCTGGTCGGACCGGCGCCGCCGCTGTCGGACCGACTCCGGTCCGATTCCCTGCAGGTAAAACTTGTTCACTTAATGGATCCAGAAGAGCTGCCAGGTGTTTACTGATAATGATTGCAAGCTTTAAGATTATAATCATGGTTTAAATGGTTCTGCTGCAGATTAGGCTTCAGATGTTCGGCTGGATGTTCAGAAAACTGCTCAAGGATGTTTTAGCATGTGGACTGAAGTAACCTCTACACTGCAAAAACAAAATCCTAACAAGTGTCTTAATTTGTCACTAAACTTGAAGTAAGACAAAACTAACTTACAAGTCATCAGCAAGATATAGGAGTTAGTTTTAAGTCAATAATTCTTTAATTTTGGTGAAGAAGTGGTGGATTATTTCACCTATAGCAAGACAATATTGTTGAAAAATAATCTATATTAAGTTACTTGAAAGTCAGTTTAGTCCTTTTTTGAGTACAAATTTATATTTGATAGAAACTAAACCAAAGATATGTAATAAGATTTTGTCTTTTTGCAGTTTTTTAAGATAAATCCTAAATTTCCATCAACCGTTCTTGTCAAGCACATCTGGATGATTTATTTCCTAATTTTGCACGTTCAAACTGACGCAAACAAATTGTCCTTTCAGTCTTGTTTGACTTGCAGAGCGTCACTGCAGCCGCCGTCTTCCTCTCGCTCTGTTAAACGGGTTTTTGGCGGCGGGGCAGGGCGGGGGATTACCACTCGATCCTTTTCGCAAAGCTCACACCAAACAATCAACCGCTGGAAAATAATCCTCTGAGACGCACAGACACTCGAACACACCCTAGCTGGGATGAACACAGATGTTTTGGCAATCATTTACACAGAATCTGCACTTCAAGGCACCTCGTTTTCTAACTGTAATATATCAAAACTTCGAGCTTTGTCTCAGTTTTTGTGGTTTAACCAGCCGCGTTTCAGAAGGTGTTAAAAGAGGGATAACAGCACAAGAGATTAGTTTGAATAAAATCAGTTATCAAGGGATAAATTCAGAGGTTTAGAAGCAAGTTGATCTTGAATATTTCTCAGATTAAGATTTATTACACATCAATCAAGGATTATCCCTGAAACCAACCCTCTGAGCTTATAATTGACACAGTGAAGAATAAATTTACAATTATGCGTCAAACAAAAATAATTACTAATTAAAACTAAATACATTTCTGCTCTTAAGATTTATTAATTCACTGCAAAACGCACATATTAATCATAACCCAGATTAAGGCCCATCTTTAAACTCCGGTTAGACTTAATAATATTGTGATTATTAATTTTTCTGTTCTCAAAACTCTCCTTCTTTGTGTTAGTGTAATATATTCTTTGTTTTGATCTATTTCTGGATCCTTTGACTTAAAATTCTGCAAAAACTCAAAATCTTACCAAGGTCTAGTTTCAGGGACAAAATCATTAGTACACTTTAAAAAAAGACAAAACTAACTTGCATGTAACTTTTTATGAAGATATATAAGCTTGTTATATAATTCAATATTTCCTTAACACTGATAAAATAACGTAGTAGCTCCACTGACAGTTTTTTTAATAACAGAAATAATCTGCCAGCGGAACTAGAAATGGGTTGCTAGGTAACGGACTGGGCGTGGCTGGTGTTGCTAGGTAACGGACTGGGCGTGGCTGGTGTTGCTAGGTAACGGACTGGGCGTGGCTGGTGTTGCTAGGTAACGGACTGGGCTTGGCTGGTGTTGCTAGGTAACAGACTGGGCTTGGCTGGTGTTGCTAGGTAACGGACTGGGCGTGGCTGGTGTTGCTAGGTAACGGACTGGGCGTGGCTGGTGTTGCTAGGTAACGGACTGGGCGTGGCTGGTGTTGCTCATACTTTTCCATCAATATAAAGGAATTGTTCACCTTAAACAAGTTTCTACATCTTGCTGAAAAGTTACTTGAAAGTTAGTTGTGTATTATTTAAAGTGTACTAAGATATTTGCACTGCAAAGTGAACCAACAATACTTGGTACGATTGAGTGGTTTACCCGGGAACTGTCTCTTTTATTTTGTTCCTGTGTTCCTTTTTCTAAATTAAAGTTATTAGAAAAAAAGACAAGGAGAGAGAACACAAGGAGAGGAAACCAAACTACTCCTTAAATATTCTTCAGCTCTTCAGAATAAGAGCGTAAATATAAACGTCTCACTACTTGAAGGATTCTTAAGCAAAACTTCAACACAGATGTCGAACTTTGATCAGCTGAGAGTTTACAAAACAGACGAAGAAATAGCAATTTAGAATCTATTTAGTGAGCTAAACTGTTTCAAAATGCTAAGTGAAACATTAGCGCCGCTGTTAGCGCATTAGCTGTTTGTAGATAAAACTAATTCCAGGCTGTTTTTACATTAAAGGTTTCAAACATGTGATCATTCTATCGAATCAAAACGTTTTAACACATAAATCAATGTTCATAGTATTATTTTAGAAGCTTCTCTGAATTTCTGAATGAGTAGGATGATAAGGACACTTAGACAAAACCGCACTGGGTCCAAAACTTAAAAGCTTTCATTGTCAATATGAGCACAAAGGGTAGTGTGGTAAAAACTAAGAGTTAATGAGGTGAAAGGTCAAGCCTGAATTACCCCAATCTTATAAAGGTGCAAATTTAAAATTCTCTCTTCATTCTTGCCAAATTTTCTGTTTTAAAGTAAGTTGTATAAAATCTTACAAAAATGTTTCTACATTGGTTTCCACTACAACCAAAGCGTTTGTGCTGCAGTATTTTTCTTTTGATTGCTGTTTATCTTAATATGACAGTTTTTTTTTTATTGTTTACACCCACCAGTAAGATGTTTTAGAGTTTTCTCCTTTTTTCCACAGCTTTAAAGATCAGAAAATATTCCCAAATTTCCTGCAAGGAATCAAATTTTCCCTCCTTTGAAGCGAGAAACCTCGTTTCTCCAGCCTGTGTCATATTTGGAGAAAATCCAGGATTTACTTTAAGCTGCTTGACCTATCTGAGCCCAGTGAATTGAATTTCGGTGTTATTAAGATGTAATGCGATATAACAGGCTCGTCAGTTCTGTTCGTATAAATTCAGACTTTTTAGGCAAGATTTTAGAGACTTATGAAGTCGAAACAGCAGGACGAGCCGATTCCTCGATTATTGTTTTTCCACATATAGACACGGCGAATTGTCTATTATGACACGGCGAATTGGGACCGTTGCGAATTGGGACCGTTGTAAATAGAAAATAGGAGTACAACTCAAAAATGTTCTAGAAACAGTGTGGAAATGTGAAAGGTTAAAATGTTTGACTTTTGAAACTAATTTCTGAGATCAATCTCAAATTCTTAGTTTGAATTTTCAAACTAAGATATTTTGTCATTTTCCTTTTTTTTAGAACATATCTGATATTTAATCGCAAAATAATTTTTTTCAGCAGAAGTTTTGACATTTTGTTCTGGAAAAGTTTATGTTGATCGAAAAAAAAAAAATTTAAGCAATTTTTTAATATTTCAAGATCAGAAATTTTCTTGTTTCTCTAGAAAATTCATAAGATTCATTTAAAAAAATATTTTATTTTTTTTAGCAAATTTTAAACTTTTCAAACAGAAATTTCCAGAATCTTTCTGACATTGTTCTGAAAATTTCAGTTTTTCGTTTCCAGAAAAATTGTAGCTTTTGCAACACAGAAATTTAAGAAAATTCTGAAATTAATTTAAAAAATGTTGGATATAAAATGGCTCTGTTATGCCATTGCAGCTTTGAGAGTTTCTGAAGCAAAGGAAAATGTGGACATGTTGGCACCTGCCCTGTTTTTGAAACAATATCAGATTTATTGTTGCAATTTGAAGACGATGCAAAATCTTAGCAAGTTTTCTTTGTCTATTTTCAAGTTCAAATATCTTAGTTTCACCTTGTTTCAAGTTACTTAGAAGTATTTTTTCAGCAAGATACAGGAGGTAATTTTAAGTCAATAATTCCTTAATAATGATGAAAAAGTTCTAGTTTGTTTCACTTCTAACATGGGAAAATGTTTTGTTGTGAGTGAAATAATCTGCCAATAGAAATAGTACTATGTACCTAAAGCAAGAGCCCAAAATCTTCTTGAAAAGTTACTTGTAATTTTTTTTTTTTTCAAGTGTCTTAAGATATTGACATTCGAAACTAGATGATAAATTCTTGGTAATGTTTGGTGTTTTTACGGCCTTGATTCTGGTTTCATTGCCTTTCCATTTGAGTTTTTTATCCCCCATCCAAATCCGTCCGGCTCTAACTACCTCGTTCCTAAATGACTTTCCCAATAATGGACGTTTCGGCTCAGATTTGTGTAGATACGACCATGTGGCCAGCTGACATCACCAAACAGTGTTCATACTTAGAATGATGTAAAGATTGGAAAGAGGATTTGCGATGACTACAACAGAGTCTCCCTCCTCCCCCCCTGCGTTTCTCATAACTCCATTCATCGAGGATTACATCTCTTTCCACTGAAACTTGGCAGGACACTAAAACACACCGTTTCAGTTCAGCACTCGGTCTGGCAGACAATACAGCGGCGCTGAGACGATGAAGGCGTGGAGATGAAAACCTGAAGGAAAACAATACAGTAGGTGACCATAGATTACTGCGTCGTTTGTTCATCATTCGCCAACATGATGGATTGAAAACAATGGCAACAAAACACAGCAGATTAATGCTAATGCAGGTAGTAGACTTTGGGTTTTGTCGGGAAGCTGTGTTCAGTTTTTAGATTTCTTTTTACCTGGTCGTGTTGTTTTTGGTTTGTGGAAATTATCACCCAGACTCCAATCCTAATCGCAGCCGATTCTGTTCCAGGATGACGACACATTCCAGTCTATTTGTGTGTAGGTCAGTCGCAACAAGCAATAAATCAGTTAATCGATTAATTGCGTGTTGACTTAAAATGAGCTCAATAATTTCCATTTGCAGGATTTATTGTTTTTCTCTTTTCTCTCTTTTTCTGCAAAAAACTAGATGACAAAATCCTTCAGTCTGGTGCTTTGGTCTCATTTATTGAAGGGTAATTTTACTTACAGACGTTATTATTAATTATATTTGTAATTTCTGATGTTCCAATTCCATCACAAATGTGTGTAAAACTTTGTCAATATTTCACTAATATTAACAAAATAAAAAATTTTAATTGCAGTGTTTCAATTAAATAACAAACACAATTAAAATCACACGTGAATAAGTTGTTCATGTCATCAATCATTAAAAAACCTGCTGCACCATCATCCTGCAACTACTTCCTGTCATCTTCTTCTTTGTGGTTTCTGCCAGAGGCAACATCTGGTTGTTTGTGATGTAGGGGAATGTTTTTCCATTGCAGTTTTGCGAAATACACGAATCTCAAGATGGCTAAAATAAAATTAACGTGTTTTTAATAAGCAAATTTATTTTTCAAAATGACAAGTTGCGTATTTATGTGGTGAATGGAGAACCATAAGATATCTGTCGTTTTACAGCAAAGCATTCTGGGTAATTTGCTACACGGGTGGAGATTGAGAGGAGGGGAATGATTTATCCAGAAAAGTAAATTTAGGAGAAGCAAAGTGTGATAGATGATTTCAAAGTTAGCAAAAATGCTAAAGCGTTAAACCTAAAATTAGCTCCTCTCTTAGCATGTTAGCATTAGCGGAAGTGTGTCAATATTCCCAAGTGACGTAATTTAGTAAATATTCAAACCCAAACAGCACCATCTTTCTGACCATTCAGTCTAAAGAAGGTTGGGGAACAATATATCTAATTGATTAATTTTGTTCAACAGATTCTTTCTACCTTAGCCAACAATTTTGGTTATTTTCTAATGCTTGCACGGTGGATCATATTCCCGCAGGCTCAGCTTTTTTTGTTGACATGACAGTTGCCCATGAAATAAATCATTCCTTTGATTCAAATAGCTGTCGGAAGAAAGCCTTTATTTTTATTTGGCTGCAGTCTTTCCTTGAAGCCTCAGTGTTGTTTGCACAGCGGTGTTTACCTCTAATTATTTGCAGGTTTCCTGACGTGAGAATGCTATCACCCCTCCAAAAACAAAGTGTAGACCAACTATTTTAAACCTAACGTGCCTAAAGCAAAGGATTAAACAGAAATATGTGGCTCAACTCCAGCCTTCCAGGATAAGTTGCCTCCTGTGAGTGGGAATGAAGAAAGTGGATTTTGAATCTGAGGTCGGGTTTAGTCAAATTGAGCTTCCTTGTACTTTTGAACATCCCAAAACTTCCTGAAGGGGCTATGGATCCTCTCAACCTTGGCTATGCCAGGGGATCAGCTAGGGATTGAGGATCTTAGTTACTTGCCTTAAAGGTGATCTACTAAGCTTCCTTGAACAGGCAATGATAGGTCTATGATATATGAGCATTTTATGTGTTTGAATGGATGAAATAAATAATAAAGTGTCTTTATCTTCTACCTCTGTGACACCGCATCAAATAAATGGGACACTTCTCCTCTGGTGTGACAGGCAGAAAACATGGCCGCCTCACATTTACCAGTAAGAGGAGTTTGCATCTGGATACAGTTTGTGGTTAGCGATAACTGCCAAATTAGCCAACATAACCCACAAAGAGTTGAGATCTGGATACAATAACTGCACATGAAACTTTATGCAGACCACTTTAAGCCATATTTGTTGAAACAACTGTTTTTTCTTTATAAGCTTGGATGTCTTACATAAAAATCATACATTTTTCTCAATGCAGAAGCAGCAAAGACTTTGATGTTTTATACTGGTTCCCCTGCTATCTGTGATCTAGACTCTATATTGGAACATAATAAAGCCCTCACAGCAGGTGAGGATGCCGTTGACGTGTAAACTGCATGCTAAGTATTGTGAACTGTCATAATGAATTATTTAATCCTCAAAGCATTTTGATTGCCAGAAATAGATTCGAAGTTTTTGTCGAGTGGGTCCAGGCCCAGAAATACTTTAAGCATGACAGATAAGTCAGGCTCACTCATGTCAACACCATGAGCTAAAAGCAGTTACCCTAAAGTACCCGTCAGGTTAATACCCAACATTTACCCTGTTGCACCCCGCAGGTAGAAGGCAGTAAAGTTTTAGCTCAAACCAAAATGCTGGTATTCTTTAAATACTCTGTATACACAATGGAGATACTGCATAAGTTTTCAGTCGTAAAGTGGAAACTTATTGATATGTATTGTTGGTGATGCAGTTTGGAGCCATTTTTCTGTGCGAATGTAAAAGTTGAGTTTGTGGTCGTGGGCAGAAGTGTGCTTATTTTAATTTAAATTGACAAGATGCCCTAAAACATCTCATGCTGAAATGATCAGACTGAAATCTCATTATCTAAGAATCATTTTAAATAAAATGAATCCGGTTTTTGGGATTATTTGACTAACTAAAGGTTGAAGTGTGAGGATCTTTGTTAAAACTAAACCCAACTCTCTCAATCTCTCCACAGGCAGGATGACAAACCAGCCGACAACCAACCAGTCCAACACAAAAACGCAGAAGGAGAAAGAGGAAACCGCTAGAGATGACAACACAGACCTGGCATATAAAGACGCTGGACACTGCAGCCGTAACACCCACAACCTGCTGCTGGGACTCACTGTTCTTGGTACGAACCCACATTAAAGCTCAGGCTACTTCACTGGGTTATTGTGCAAACAACAAGTTTCAGCTTTTACTTCCCAAACCGCCTGCTGAGTGGCTAGTTTGTTGTCTTTTCCTTTAAATCACATTTGCAGTAAATCTTGCTTAACGCAAATCAAGATGTACAAACTCCATGATCATTTTCCCACAAGACTTGTGTCGGCTTGTTGTTGTCTTTAGTCTGCTTTTGTAAACACTTCGCTCTGTTTCGCCATAGCTGCATTCTTGTAGGGAAAAAAGATCCATGCAGAGCTTGAGAAGTGTGTTATTTTTTTGTCTGTAATTTGTCACCAAGATTTAAACTCCGATATGAAGCCGTTTACATTACGGTGGATGGCTTTCATTAGTCAGAGTTTCCTTACATCTGTGATGTAAAACAACTGGCCAGTGGCTCCACTCACAGCCTGTAAACTACATGGAAAATCTGTTTTTCTTTCTGCTTCTTCAGCTAAACAGGTGTGGAAATGTTTTTAATTCCTAATTTCTGACTCTGTTGAACAAGTGAACAGATCAACTTTCTCTAAGGACTTCTGTTGAAAACTAAATGGTGTATTCAATCACAAAAACTTATTTTTAGAAACTTTCAACATTCATATTCGTTCCACTTCTGGAAAACCTTAGCTACTTCTTCCTTTCAAACAAAAGGCAATGACTAAGGAGTGTTTATGATCCTCAGGTGTGGTCATGGGAACGTTGTTTGGGATGCTGCTGCGCTACATGATGGTGAAAGACATGGCCGCCCTCACCATGGTTTCCTTTCCTGGAGAAATCCTCATGAGGATGCTGAAGATGCTCATCCTGCCTCTCATCATCTCCAGCCTTATCACAGGTGAGCCGAAAAACAATGGCTTCAATTCGGCTATTTCAACTTTAGAGGTTGATATCTTACAGTAAAATGATTAAAATGCTCTCGAGATGTAAACCAACCAAACAAAAATAACTTCAGACACAGATAACATGACATTTATCTAAAACAAATTAATTTTCAAGGGAAATAAATCTATTGGAGAACCCATCTGACAACATGAAGTAGGCTAAATTATCTGAAACAATAAAAAAGCATGACATCATGTTTTGTTCCAAAGAAACTCAGGAATATTTAAGAAGTAAAGTAATTGATAACATCTGTTAGTTTGGAAAAAGTTGCAAAGCCATTGCCAAGTGCCTAATGAATTGGTTTTGTTGGTTTATAACCAAAATTTCATCAAACTTTATTCAACTGAAAGTTTGCAAAACGGCGTAGTAAATTAGCACAATTCATCTAGAGGAAGCCGATCATGCTAAATGTTTTCAAAGTTAGCAAAAACACTAACGCACCAAGCAAAAACATAGCTCTGGTATTAGCACATTAGTAGATTAGTTAAAGTGTGCTAAATGCTGAGGTGCTAAACAAGACGCTAGCCATGCTACTAGGGTTCGGCGAATAAATGCCAATGAAACAAAAAGAAGAGGCTTTAGTCTGCTTTTGTAAACAGTCTGGTATATTTCTTCACTTCTTTTCCCAAGTATACGTTTTCACGTGTCTGTGCTTCTGTTGATGAAATAAAACACACCCCACACACATTTCTATAAATACTTTCACCACACCCAGAGTGAATAATGGAACTGTTTACCTTGCTAGCAGAGCTTGTAATCCCTTTACTCTGCGACTGCAGGGAAACTCTGGGGATGAATCAGGATGTTTCCGTCATAGTAAACTTTAGTCACAGAGGTGCAGTTTTAGAATTGCATTATATGCTGAATTAAAGTGTCCAATACAACCAGGCATTGCAGTGGCTAATGCTAGTTAGCATACATGTTTCACAAGTGAGATAAATTGGTAGCCATATGCTTTAAATCTTCATAATTTCTATAAAAAAATTTGTGTAAATTTTTTTCCCTACTTCTTGTTTTTTTTTTTAACAAAGTAGGACAATTGCTTCATAAAAGCTGACTTTAGGGTTAGCTTGGGGTTTCCATGTTGCTACTGCATCACTACCATGAGCTTCAGGGTGGAGATAACGTGACATTGCATTTACTGCTTGGTGGGTGTCCAGAACTGAGATCGTATTCAGGCTCATTTGCCGAAACTAGGTTCTTAAGAATCCAAGTTTCTTAAAATTAAATGTACCGTAGCAAAACAGCTAATTAGCAACAGATGTTATCCAGGTTAAAAGGCTTAAAACCAACCATTTGTAATGAGAGCACATTTAAAAAAAACAATAAACTCTTTGAAACCTTGGGGGGAAAAGTGTTTGTTTACTGATAAGGTTACAAAGTATGGCAGAAATATGGTAGAAATTGCCCCTAAAACAATCCAACCATGGCAAAGTAATTTTATTTGTCTTGTTTTGTTTTATTTGAGCGCTATTTATTGTCTTGTTTGAGCGCCATTTTTGCACAGGCGAGGAGGGAAACAGTCAGCGCTGAAAAAACAAAATCTTAAAGTATTTTTGGTCTAGTTTCTAGTGCAAATCTCTAAGTACACTTGAAATAAGACAAAACTACATTAAAAGTTAATACATTTTTAATATTGATGAAAAACTATTTTCACTGGAAAACAATTTCACTTATAACAAAAACATTTTTCCCATAAGTGAAATAATCTCAGTGAAACTAAAACGTTTTCATCAATGTTGAGGAATTATTTACTCTTATTTCTTACTGATAAGTTTCTTGTAAATTAGTTTTGTCTTCTTTCAATTGTACTAAGAAATTTGTTTTTGAAGCTATACCAAAAATACTTGGTTAGATTTTGTGTATTTGTGCTCAGAGGTTTGAATCATTTTGCTCAGTTCAGTGTAAAAGAAATCAACAGCTAAAAATGAAACAAATGTTCCAGTTTTGGTCCCCTATCAGGTGTGAAAACACCTTTACGTAGGAGCTCTTTTTAAATAAAACCAGACAAGATGAAGAGTTATCATTTTAAATCCCTGGCTGTGACCTCCAGGTCTGGCCGGTCTTGACGCTCGCTCCAGTGGAAGGATGGGAAGCAGAGCCATGGTGTACTACATGTCCACCACTGTCATCGCCGCTGTCCTGGGAGTCATCCTGGTTCTGGGGATCCACCCGGGAAACCCCAAACTGCGGAGCAGCACCACGTCCACATCCGCAAAAAACCAGGAGGTCAGCAGCCTGGACGCCTTCCTGGACCTGCTCAGAAACCTGTTTCCTGAGAACCTGATGCAGGCCTGCTTCCAACAGGTACCCCGTTAAAACATGTTTGTTTTGCATTCAGTGGGTAGAAAATTCAGAAATTTTACTCAAATAAGAGTAGCAATATTTCATAATAAAATTACTCAAGTAAAAGTAAAAAGTACAGCGCAGTAAAAACACTCCTGGAAGTACTTTTTTTTAAGTAAATGTAACTAGTTACTACTAAACTGATGACAAGGCAATGAGAGAAAGTGCAGCTTGATTGCAAAATTAGACTCTATTCTTTAAGGTTGCAAAAATGTTTCTGAATAAACTATAAAACTTCTTTAGACCAAAGTCAAGGCTTTAAGTAGGCCATAATTTCCAGCACCATATTTGGAGAAAACAACAGAAAAACAGCTGAACCATAAGTCAGGCACGGTGGTGGAGGGGTGGTCATTTGGTCGGGACGTGGGAGTATCCTAGTGTCAAATGTGAGTTTGGTACAAACTGGGTCATCAACAGAGCAAAGTCCAGACCTCAAGCTGATTTAAATCTGTGCAGTGACCTTAAGAGAGGCAAACCTCAATGAACTGAAGCATAAGCTGCTTATGCAAGTCGTGTTCTCTCTTTTTTTATAAACCGTAGTAGTTTTCTCTTTTAAAATGCACTCTGCCACATCTGCACTTACCTCAGTGAGGAATCTGCTGCCAAATCAAACCTTTTTATTCTGTTTTTTTCCCATGGTAATCCATCCGCTGGATTATCATGGAGCGGTATTTCTTCCCCAAATACCGCTCCTTAAATTTCTCTTTTACTGCTCCTTTTGTGTGTAAGCATCAGGGATTCATTAGTCATAAAAAGGCTGAAGTTTAAGTGGGAAGAAATCTTCCTTCCCCTTTCAGCCTTTTTGACTCTTTTATGTCTCTTTGTTGTCTTTTATGTTAGAAGCTCTTGTTCTCCATTTGCCTTCCCTTTAAAGGAGAGATGTTATGCTTCCTTGAACACGTTCGGATTGGTCTATGTTCATCACTTGTCCTTTTGCATAAAGCCATTCTTCGATAATGAGATTTTATTCAGCTTAATTCAGAATGAGCTGTTTTAGGGCTTCTTGTCACTTTAAGCATGAAAATGGCTGCAAATGCGCTATTATACAACTGTACATCTTTGAAAAGTAGAAGTGGCGCCTCCTGCACAACCAAAAAGAATGCAGCAAGTGGTTTCCACTGCAGCATAAAGTGACCCAACTCTACCCTTATGTAGACTCTACCCTTTTACTTAGAACAATAATTTTGTCCATGTTATAAGTGAAGTAAACTTCCAATGGAAAAAGTACATTTTGAATTACTGCTGAATTATTTCCTGTTGAAAAGTTACTTGTTAATTAGTTTTGTCTCATTTCAAGTATACTAATATATTTGCACTAGAATGTAGACCCATATACTTTTTGCAGTGTACATTCAGAATATTTTTGAAAATAGTAATTATCCAGACACCAAAAATCATTAAATTAATCCCAAAAACAGCCGAGTGGGTTTTTTAAGTGCTAGGAGTCTTTTTAGAAGCAGACCCCAAAATCAAAGCACAAAAATGTACGCAACATCAATAAAAAACATCATAAAAATGTAAAGTTAAAGTTAATTCTTCATCTGCTGAGATGTTAATAAACCTCTTATGAGTCTGAAATCCTCCTGTAGGTGCAGACAGTGTTGAAACAGGTGACGGTCACGGCACCGAACCAAACCGAGCCGGTGGTGGTGAACAGAAAAAAACTGGAATACAAATGGGGCATGAATGTTCTTGGTGAGTTCATAGCTAACAGGTCTTTAGTCTGCGTGCTTCTGCTCGTGTTTATTTTGGCAGTAAACTAACTCCTCTGTTTGCCCTTCCAGGCTTGATCGGCTTCTTCATCACCTTTGGGATCTGCATGGGCAGGATGGGCGAGCGTGGGAGAGTCATGTGCGACTTCTTCAACATCCTGAATGAAATCATCATGACGATGGTTTCCATCATCATGTGGTCAGTATCTGCTTGCAGACGCGTGTCTGGTTTTGCTCTCAGACGCAGACGGCGGCATTGCTCTGATGTTGGGAAGATGCCACAGAGAAGGTCAGCAGCGGGCAGTGACTAATGTTTACAGGAGACAAATTGTGGGAACATGAAGACCGAAAAGGAAAGGAAGATGGAGAGATTATGTTCACTGCAAAACACAAAATCCTGCCAACTTACTACTAACTTATAAGTAACTTGTTTTACGTTGATAATTCCTTAGTATAGTTTGTAAATGTCTTGCTATAAGTGAATTATTCTGTCAGTGAAACTAGAACATTTTCATCAATATTAAGGAATTATTGAGTTAAAACAAGCCTCTATATCTTGCTGAAAAGTTACTTGTAAGCAAAGGTGGGTAAAATGTCAGAAGTAGCAATACTTTAACATATTTTTACCTAAATAAAAGTAAAAAGTTGCCACCCAAGAAATTATTCAATAAGTATAAAAACGAATTTGGTAAAAAGTCCATTCAAATACTGAGTTACTGATTGAAACATTCGTTGTTTAAAATTTGAAAATTACATCGTCAAACAAACCAAAATGCAAAGTTATGTGAGATTTTTGGTGTTTTAAAGATTAAAATAAAAATAATTCATATAATTGGAAAGATTAAAAACGTTTTCCAAATCAATTTTCTTTCTACCAAACTTATGAAAATGCAGCAGGAACTGCAGGTGTGTGTCTGTCTGACACACACACACACACACACACACACACACACACACACACACACACACACACACACACACACACACACACACGCACACATATTTTTGTTTTTCATTCAGTGGGTAGAAACTATAGAAACTTTACTCAAGTAAGAGTAAAAAATACCTTATGATAAAGTTATTCAAGTGGAAGTAAGAAGTACAGTAGTTCAGTAAAAGTAAACTTACTAGAAGACCGACTTTGTAACTCTCTTTATGTGACTTTGAAGGTTCAGGTCAGAGGTCATCACGACACCCAGATTTCAGGCCTAATCTCGAGTTTGTAACTGTAATATTTAGTCTAAAGTAGACTTCTCTGTTTCAGATCCAGAAATTATTTACCTAAAAAAACCTTTTAAATGGAGCTGAAAAGATACTTGAAAATTAATTTGGTCTCATTTCAAGAGTATTACGATATTTGTGGTAGAAAGGAAACAGAAATGCTTGGTAAGATTTAGTGTTTTTGCAGCAGTGCGTGTTGGTGAGGGACACGGACAGATGGAAGGAGTTAGGCTCTGGAGTCTGTGGTATGCTGGGGAGTAGCAGGAGCCATGTAGCGGATCCCAGGGGAACCGGGGTGGAGAATCTCCAAAATGAAATGGATCCACGACTAGCGGGCAGAGGAGCAGCTTGGCGGCGGGGAATAAAAGGAGAGGAGTTGTTGAGAGATGCGTGTGAAAGCAGGACTTCAGAGCAGAAAACACGAGTTGAGGCTTTGCAGGACTCCCAATAAGTCGCGCAGAAATAGACGATGAAGTGGCTCTTAGAGGAGGGATGGGAAAGGAAACGGGAGACGGAAGAGAAACGCCAGCTCTCACTGTAAAAACACAAAATCTCTCTGGTGCTTGAACTGGAAGGATCTAATTAAGTTAACTTTTTCTTACATGTAAGTTGTAAGAAATAAAATTTTGACTCTATTTTTGCTAGAAATAAACATGTTTTTGAAATAATGAAATACAAAGCGAATTCAGAAACCAGATACCTGCAGCTTTTTCTTGGGTTAACTTTGGTTTTGGAACTTAAAAAGCCACGACCTTTGACATTTAACACATTTAACAACAAATCTTACCAAATAATTTCAGCTTAGTTTCTGGTGGGTGATATCCTTGGACATTAGCAACAAAACTAAACAAATGTTCAAGTTCCACCTCTTAAAGGAGCTTGTTTTAAGTTAATAATTCATTAAAACTGATGGAAAAGTTCCAGTTCCACTGGCAGATTAAAGTTATTTACTTTACCTTTTCCCCTCATTGTGCAAAAACTAAGAAATAACTTTTCAACAAGATATAGTACATTGTTTAGAGTAAATAATTACTTAAAATTGATGAAAAACTTCTAGGTCCAATGACGGATTATTTCATTACAACATAGTAAAAATGTCTTGTTACAAATTAAATAATCTGCCAATGTAACTGGGTTTTTCTTTACCAATATTAAGAAATTATTGATATAAAACAAGCTCCAATATCTTGCTAAAAAGTTAGTTTTTGAACAGCGACTTGGCGTTATTACAGATAGAAAAAAAGGAGGAAATTTCTGCCAAAAAACTAAAAAGATTGTTTAAAAAAACCTCCTAAATTTTCTCCAAAACAACATTTAAATTTCTGAACACTTTTCATCAATATTAAGGAATTATTTAATGACAACAAGTATTTGCAGTAGAAACTAGACCAGAAATACTTTATTGTTTTTACAGTGCGTGTGCAGCTGGACTCCAAAGGAAACTGTGTCCTGTTCGCATCACTCACTCAGTGTAAACATTTTAGTCAGGGCGAGCCAAACACAGACTCCACTGTAAACAGAAGAGGAAAAAAACGCATCCATCCCGCCGGATGCTCCAACAAACAGCAACTGTCCGGGATTTCAGCGCGCTGCAGCTGACCTGCAGCGGCAGACCTGCAGCAGCAGGCCGCCACTGTGATTGGCCCAGCCGCGGGGGGCGGGGCTTAAAGGCGAGCTTCGCTTCAAACCGGGTCTCCCAGAAGAGCCGTCTGAATTTATGAATGGGAACAACTGTGGTGAAACCAGAGATCCCAGTATGTGTCAGAGGAAATGCTCCACTGGGGGAGAAACAATCTGATCGCAGGAATTATTTTGAATCTCACAGTTTGAATTATTATAGGAATAAAATCAGGAAAATGTTGATTTTAAAGCACCAAATCAGCGCAGAGCTAATTGATCATAAATTGGAGTGGAAAATAAAGTTTCTTAATGAATTGATAATTGAAAAAAACATCCTTTAGTACACAGGTGTTTTGCAAAAACAGATGGATGATAGTTGGATGTCTGGATGGTTGTTGGATGTTGGTTGGATGGATGACAGCTGGATGATAGTTGGATGACATTCATTTCTCCTTCCCGGTTGCTCAGGTACTCCCCCGTCGGCATCGCCTCTCTGATTGCCGGTAAAATCGCCGCCATTGGCGACCTTGAGATGGTTGCGAGGCAACTGGGGATGTACATGGTGACGGTCATCGTGGGCCTGGTGATCCACGGCGGCCTCATCCTGCCCGCCATCTTCTTCGCAATCACCAGAAAAAGCCCATTTGCTTTCTACTCCGGCATCTTCCAGGCCTGGATCACAGCTTTGGGGACCGCCAGCAGGTACGACCTTTAACTCGACCTTCACCTTTAACTCGACCTTCACCTTTAACTCGACCTTCACCTTTAACTCGACCTTCACCTTTAACTCGACCTTCACCTTTAACACGATTTTTAGATATTTTTTAAAACATCACATAATAAAGCAGATCAAAATATAATGTATGTGTAAAGTTTGGTATTTTAAGGACCAAAATGAAAATAATTTATATAAATAATGTAATTGTGACGTTACAATCCGGAAGGTTTTAGAAACGGCTAATTTTCCAGACAAAAAATTTAAAGTTATTGCCAAAAACTGCCTGGGTGTTTTTTTTAGGTCGCTTTTAGAGGCCGTAGTTCTTCAAGTTGCGCCAACAAACCATGTGTATTTTTTTGAGTGTATCGCTACGTGTGAGTGCCGGCTGTCGGACAGATCCCAGGTTGTAAACGTCGGGCTCTGGGCTGGAAATCTGCTGGAACCAAATGTCATTCTGGCACATCAGCCGGGTTTTAGTGAAAGTCGGCTAATCCTATCAACGTTTTCTCTAATTATATTATGGGCAGAGCTGAGCAGGGCCAGGAATCAGACTCCTGTAATTCACGTACTGAGGGATTGAAACAGTGGCGGCAGCAGCTGTCAGGAAGAGGCTGTCACCCGGCTCAAGTTTCTGCCGCCTTTTATTCATCTTTACCCCTTCACCTTCCCTCCACACGTCTGCGCTTATGTCTCACACCACCTGTCTGCATATTTTATGACTCTTTGCTTCTCATCCTTGAAAATTGGCGCTAAATCTTATATTTTGTGTTGGTGTTTTTTCAGTGCGGGGACGCTGCCGGTCACTTTCCGCTGCCTGGAGGAAAACCTGAAGATTGACAAGCGGGTGACTCGCTTCGTGCTGCCAATAGGCGCCACCATCAACATGGACGGCACGGCGCTGTACGAGGCGGTGGCCGCCATCTTCATCGCCCAGATGAACGACATCTCACTGGACGGCGGACAGATCGTCACCGTCAGGTGGGCCAAAATCCAAAATATTGGTTTGGTGCAAGTGAACATTAATCAGAGGCTCATAGTTCTAGATTTTAAATATTCAATAAAAGAAGTTTATAAAGGCTTTTGTCAAAATGAAAAACCAATGGCTGCGTTTTTGTTGACCTTTAAATTGCGAAAATTTAACTTACAAAATAAATTTGCTAAATGGAAACAGCAATTTAAAAAAAAAATCGTGTTGCGTGAGGATCTGGTAGTTTTTCGGCTGTATTGAAATTATTGTATGCCATAAAATTGCGATGGAAAACAAATGTTTCCGCCTCACACAAGTCAAATATCAACACTAAAAGAAGAAAAACAAGAACTGGAAAAAGTTTTTTTTATTTTAATGGCTTCTTGCTTGAGCAGACTTTGATTTTAATCTAATTTCTTATGTCATGGAAACGCCACAATTGTGTGTTTTTTTTTTCTTTTTTTAGCAATAGTGGAATATTGACAATTTTTATGCACACAAGTGATGGAAATGCAGTTATTCCTGCACAAAATCTTCTGCTTGATTTTGTAAGAAAATGTGAAAAATGACCACAAGGCTTTTAATTGTCAAACATAAATATTGGAGAACACATGATTCATTTTCCATGTGTTGGTCTCACTCTCAATAAAACACATTGAGGTTTGTGGCTGTCATTGTCAGAAAAGCAATTCAAAGGGGATAAAAACTTCAGTATAAACAATAAATTAGATCCTGTAAGATGTTTCTGTTGGTCACAGCTTCGTTCAGCAACATTACAAGCTGCAAACTGGATTTAAGTGCATGCACAACATGCTTCACTTTTTATTTGATTCTTGTTGCATAAATTTGACTGAAATCTCGTTTTTAAGTCTCTTCTTCAGGTTTTTCTGTGTGGATTTTTCCTGTATGTTAAGAATACATCAGATTTGTGTGTTGGGTCGAAACAAAACCCTGTTGAACCCAAAGGTCTTTAGTTTAAGACGGTATAAACAGCCTGTCTTTGTTCTTCTTGTTAAATTTTCTGCTTTGAGGTATAAAATCTGCTGCCAAACTTCATATCTTTCCAGGAATATATATTATTTTTCAGCTGTTTCATTTACTGTCGCTTCCAAAAAGCAATAATTCACCTTTTACAACCAGTTTACACCACATTTGGCTCGCTGCGCTGACCTGAAAAAGTAGCCAGGGTTTCACTTTGTTCTTATTTTTTATCTTTTCACAAATTATTTTGCTTTTATGCTAAAGTAGAACCATCAGTACCTAATTTAAACATCTCGCTTCGAGCTTCTAATCTCACTTGTAATTCAGTCAGAACCATTTTGGTCAGAAAGATAATTCCTAATATGTGTAGCTACAGAGGGATGCAGAAGGGAGCGGCCTGCCGCACAGAACAGATCGCCATTGGAGATAACAGACAGCGCAGGATTAGCTTAGACAGCTTTAAATAGGAGGTTTGGCTGAAGCTTTGAAAGCAGAGAGCACTCTGTCAGATTTACCAGATAAGTGAAGCCGTTTTCCTCTCACACACAAACAGACGGTGCTTTTTACCAGCTGTGTCAGAAAACTTGGCCCGGCAGCTTTTACAATTTGTACTTTGTCGGATGTTTCTCGCAGATATTCACATTTCCAGGCCACCTGTAAAATGTTTCTGCCACTAACAGCAATAAAGTCAGAATTAGGTTTATGGATAAACGGTCAAATCTCATCGTAATTCAGACTTAACGAAGTTGCAACTCAGGAATATTTCACTTATACGACAGAGAAATTAAATGTGGTCCTAAATCATTTTGTCCGAGTCGCTGTGGGCAGGAAGGATCTCCAGTAGCAGTCAGTCTCGCAATCTGAGGAGGCCTCTGACTGAAGACTAAACTGTGGCTTCACATCGGCTCCTGGAAAAGTTTAAAAGCTGTGTGAAAACTCATTTTTAATCCTTGGCTCTTAACCAGCAGGAGTTCTGACACCTGGAACTGTTTTGTTTCCTGCTGAAGAATTCTGGGAATAAAAATCAGAATTCCGAAAAAAATCTGAATCCTGAAAAAATAAGGATAAAAATTCAGAGAAAAAAACTTCAGAAATCTTCTTTTCTTATTTTCCAGTGGCACTAATCCTCTTCCATAAATTTATAATAATGCTAGTACGCCCTCTCAAAGATTGATAAACTTTGGATAAAGATTTTAATTATCCAAAATACTGACTAGTTATTTCACTTATTAGATGGAGAAAATGTTTTGCTATAAGTGAAATAATCTAATGAAACCAAATTATAAATACAAGGACCCAGAAGTAACATGTCCTAACACGTTCTTAATGAGCTCATTCTGATTCGACTGTCAGCTTTTTTCACTGATTTTCTTTGGGATTTCTGTGAAAATCCTCCTGACAAACACATTTTTCTGCTGCGACCAGAAACAGAACTGCTCGGGAAACAGTGCGGATAAAGCTGTAAATGCAAACAGCTGGAGATTTAGCCTTACATGAGAGCGAAACGCAGCAACACCAGGGTTGTAAATTATATTAATTGCATAGTTTAACAACTAAAATGAATCTTTCACTGCTTTTTGTTTGTATCTGTGGTTCCGTTCAGACCCTAAGACAAAAACATAACCAGATAAAACTCATTAATAAATTTCTCTCACAGTAGCAATATTAATAGAGTCAAAGTTTGTTTAGAAAAGTAAATTAGCTCGGATATTCCCAGCGCATTCTGCATGAAACATTAAGTTTGCTTATGAAAATGCGTTCAGTTGAACCAAATCTAAACAAAACTCAAGGCGTTTTTCGATGGAGTTGCATGACTAACGCAGATTATTATGATATATGGCAGCGAGTGGGGGACTGAAAATCTAAAATGAATGCAGCAAAGAAGCAATCAGACATTTTTTCCCATGTCTGAGGTTTCGGCTGAACATTAAGTCTTAATTGGAACCAGTCTGCTTGGACGGGACTCAGCTTGTTATGGCTGCGGGTTGCAAATAATGCCCAGCACTTTGAAATTGTTTATTGTATTTTTATTTTTTTTTTCCATCAATGTCTGTGCCCCACTAAATTCCACAACGTAATTCCTGAAACGCGCTGGAAAGCATTTTCCTCTGCTCTGAAATATTCCCCGCATGCTGCAGGCGGTCGGAGACAAACGGAGACGCGACTCGGATTTCTGACGGTTTGTGGCGAAAGAAAAGAAAAACGACAACAACGGGTCATCGTGAATAAATTATTACCGCTGTTGTAACGGAGAACGGATCAGATTCTGTAGAGAGGAAACAATCCTGGAGGAAGAGAGTTTTGTTTTCATGTGAGGTCGCTAATTTAGCAAAATGAAATTAATCTGAGTAAAAAGGGCAGCAGTGGGATTCTGATAAAGACGAAAATAATCCACCTCTCTGTTCGTCCATTTGTACATCTATTCGTTTGTCCATTCATCCATTAACTTTTGCAGTTACTTTATGTTTTATTTTTCTTTCAATAATCTGTTTTCGGGGCGTGCTGCGGTGGCGCAGGGGGTTAGCACTGAGGCCTCTCCTCGCCCTGTCTGCCTACTGTCGAAAATATGAGCTACTAGCGCCGCAAAAACTCTTTAGAGAATAAAATAAAATAATAAAAATCTGAAGAACAAAATCAGATTAAGGAGTTTCAATGTTTCTCTAAAATTTACAGTATGTATAAAGTGAAATTTTTCCTCGTCCTCCAGTCGCATTCGGCGCCTTTATGGGCTACTTAAGGTTAATGAAGTAATGTCTTAATGCGGATTAATAGCTGCCATTAAACCGTCTGAACTTGCTGATTCAGGTTTTGAGGGTTTCCAGAACGCTCAGACTGGCTGTTGCGTTTACTGTACCATTAATCCTCTCTGTTAAATGTTTTCTGACAGCTTCATTCACTAATGTTGTTGGAAATACTTCACAGAAACGTCCGCTCGGCGTTTCTTCGGTTCATACGTTCTCACGTGATGCTGAGTTTACAGGAAAGCTTCGAGCCAGGATAAAAATTAGGTGGTGGTTGAGGCCACAGTCTGTCTTTATGAACAAACTGGGTTCATGCGAGGTGACAAATTTAAAGATGACTTATTATTCTTCCTTGAACATTTAGGATTAGTTTATGGGGATACGAAACATGTTTTTGCACAAAATCACTCTTAGAGAATGAAAGTTTCAACCCCCAACGTCATGTTTACACTTGCACATGAAAATGGCTGAAAACAGATGCACAATTATATGAAAAATGTCTTTGAAAAGCATTAGTAGAGCCTCCTGCACAACCAACAAGAATGCAGCAAGTGGTTTCTGGATGGTAAGCCAACGACAATACACTTGTCTTTTCCAGCAGCCATTGTACAGCAATAAAACCAGCTGACCAAATGTGCTGGAGCTCCACACTCTGTTGTGGTTACTATGTAACGGCGCACTGCCCATGGAAGCTGGCTTAATAATCACATTCAACGAAGTTCTCACAAGTTTTTAAACGGCTAATTTTCCGGACATAAACAAGCATCAAGTTGTTGCCAGAACCTTCCTGGTTGTTTTTCTAAGTGCTGTTTTTAGAAGCAGTCGATCCAAATGAAGGTACAAAACGTTAACATGTGAATGTTTCCACAAGAGGTTCCCTTTAAACACATCAGCTAGAGTTCTCTTAGTCAGGTCTCTTTTTGCAGAGTTTAAAATATTTTAAATTCTGGCAGTATGACGGCCACCCTGGCCAGCGTTGGAGCCGCCAGTATCCCCAGTGCCGGACTGGTGACCATGCTGCTGATCCTGACCGCCGTCGGCCTCCCCACTCAGGACATCAGTCTGCTGATCGCCGTCGACTGGCTACTGTGAGTAAAGGAGTCTGGTGAGCAGGGACTGAAAATATCAAATCATCTGCAGCTATTGGCTTCGCTCTGAGACATTTGTTAGTAAGTTCTGGTTTTTGTTTGTTTATTTGTTTTGTGCAGTTGTGTAAACTGGCAAGGCTAAATTTGAACAAACATTGGATTCAATGCGGAGGACAAAAAGAAGATGTTTGGGTCAGAGATTTGAGTACCACTCAACAAAGTTCCCACAATCCACTGCTGCAACTTTGGCCCTTTTCTCCTGAGCCGTTTGTGACGTCACTCGATAATAAACCAATAATTTGGTTTTTTTAGCCTGCAATAGAGAAAACAATGTTTTCATTACTCAAAGTCAAATGTTCCAAACTAAATATTTAATTTGAGAGCTAAATTTGTAATTTAGTAATTATTTTTCCTTCAAACTAAAAATTAATGCTCCAAACATTTAGTTTGTAATGTAAATATCTAAGTGTGAGGTAAATATTTAGTCTATAAACTGTTTTGATTTTAAAGTAAAATATTTAGTTTGCAAACAAACCATATAACTCCAGGTTAAATATTTATTAGCTTTATAACTTAATATTTAATTTGAAAGTTAAATATTTTGTTTATAAACTAAACATTTAGTTTTCAAAGTGAATGTGCCTTTACAACTATTTAATTTTGAACTAAATATTAGAATTAATTATTTAGAAATATTTATTTGGGTTGAAATATTTAAAAGTAGGTGTTTTAATTTGAAAACACAATTTTCAAATTCAATATTTTGTTTGAAATAAAATTTAAGTTGGGCTCCAAATTAAATTTTTAGTTTTATACCTAAATATTTAATTTGAAAGTTAAATATATAGTTTGTAAACTGAATATCTCTAAATTAAAAATTTTGTTTGGAACTCAAACTAAATTCATACATTTGTAAATATGTGAATAACTTGGTGAAAATCTGACTTTGAAACATGAACCTCTACATTTTTCCTCCCCAATAAACTAAATAAATCCAATTGTTGCTGTTAGTTTTTTCCTGTGTATCTTTAGAAACGGCTCCCTGTCAGACGGATCTGGTCAAACTGACTCAGGTTTTCTGTCTGACTTTCTCACACACACCTTTTGAGACTTTGACCTATTTTTGTCCAAGCTTTTACCTGGTGGCTGATGATGATGATGTTTCAACATTTCCACACCGCGCTCTGTCATCATGATGTCATCATCTTACAGAAATTAATGATGCTGCCACCCCTGTTCCCCAAAGTCAGGGTGTGGTTATCACACATTTCACTCTAAATTTTCCATTATTATTATTTCCAAAACGTTAACAGTAACATTTTAAATGCGTCTGACGTTTTATAAGTAAATTTTCATTCTTTTTGACCTAAAATACAAAATGTTTAGTCTGATTTAATGACAAAAACGGTTATGCGCCTTTTTGTAGGGTGAGTAAATTTCTGGTTTAAGCTTTATGTTTGATATGGGTTATGTCAACTAGTTATGAGTCGTCAGTATCTTTCCTGAGGCAGCCAGTAAAATTATTTTGGAGATCAGCGGCATTTACAGACATTTTGGGGTTTAAAAAACTAATTGATGTATTTTAAGTGCATTTTACTTTTTTTTTTTAGGATTATTTAAATTACTAAATTATTATAAATTGATGAAAAGAAAATATGTAAAAAAAAATTCTTGTAATTTTTTATTATTGCACCCAATTTTCAGAAGCAGAAATTGTTTTAGGAAAAACAAGAAAATTTCTTAATACAAAAGTAAAAGAAATGTAAAAAAAAAACTGAGATTTTGAGATTCATCTTTCCAAGTTTCAAAAGTAGAAAATTTTGACTTTTGAAATTAAAAAATTTTCATAATTTTTCTAAAGATTTCTGAGGTTAATCTCAACAGAAATTCTGTCTTGTAATAACATTGAAAAACTGCAGTTACAAGAATAAAGTCGTAACAATATGACTAAATAAGTCCTAAAATTAGCCATAATTTTAGAACTTTATTCTCATAATTTTTTTTAATTTTCTTAGCATGGTCTCAAATCTCAATTGTCAAAATGTTTTTGTTTCCTGCAATATTACAAAAACGTGCAGCATCAGTAATACAAATCCAGAAATGCTCATTTGGGCCACATAGAAAAACTTTGTAAAAGCAAAATTTGAAAAGGGCACTTTTTCTCTGCAGAACAACAGGTGCATGCGCTCTAGCACCTCCTAGTGTCCGTGTGTATACATCTCTGTTGGCAAACCCACGACTTTACTTCCTGGTTGTTTCTGTCCACTCAGTGACCGAATGCGAACCTCCATCAACGTGGTTGGGGATTCGTTTGGCGCCGGGATCGTGGATCATTTATCGAGGGCCGAGCTGGCGGAGCTCGATGCAGCGGAAATGCTCCCGACAGAGGAGGAGCTGGACTTCATTCCTCCGCCGCCGATTTTCACCGAAATGGACCTGGTCGACCCGCTGAAGCCGCCAGAGCTGCCGCCTCGCTCCCCTCGCCCCCCGAAGATGAACCATCACAGCAACGTTCTGTCCCAGTCCCAATCCGCCACTTACTCACCTTCCTGCTCCATCCGATCTCCGTCACCTCACTCCGTTCGCTCTCCCTCCCCGCGCTCCGTCTGCTCCCATTCCCCTCGGCCTTTCCGCACTCATTCGCCTCGCCTCCTCTGCAGGACGGAGCCGGGCTACTCCGCCCTGCCCAGCCACGACAACCAGGTATCCCCCAACACTGAGACATGACTTTTACCACGTTAGGGCCTCCATACACAGAAATTACAACAAAAAAGAGGAGGAACTTCCACCAAAATGCTCACAAATGTTAGCATATCTTAGTAGCACAAATTAAAAAAGAGACATTTCTGAGTTTGAAAAGTTAAAAATTTGCTGAAAAAGATATTGAAATTTTGGGATTACAACAGAACATTTCTAGAAAAACTTTTTAAAAGTAAAAAATTTCTGAGCTTGAAAATTTAGACCAAAAAACAAAAAAATGTTGAGGTTAATCTAAAACATATTCCAGAAAAAAGCTCAAATCCCTCAGAAATTTTTAGATTAATCTCAGAAATTTGTTTGAAAAATGAGATTTCCGAGCTAAAGATCTGCAAAACGAAAAACAAACTTTTTTTAGACTTTGAGATTAATCTTAGAAATTTTTCAGAAAAAAGTGTTTGAGTCAAAAGTGAATTTTTTTAATCTTTTGAAAACAAAAATTTTAATTTATTTTTGTCAAAAATATTTTTATTCTAGCAAAGCTCAGAAATGTTCTTGTTTTTTCTAGAAAATCTCGATGATTTTTTTTCTCTTCTATGTAAAATTGTCCTGATTCTCCGTTATGTAAATTTACATTGATCAATAATGCTCTGATGAGTTTCTCTCTGCTCTCAGGTTTCAACGTTGCCGCGCGGCTACAGAGATCGCGATCGAGATCGGGATCGGGATCGGGATCGGGGGCGCGACAGGATCCGGGTCAGAGAGCGGGACAGAGAGCGGGAGCGGGAACGCCTGAGGCCAGAGAGCGAAACGGAGGAGGAAGAGGACAGAGAGCGAGTTCTGGGCGAAGTGAGCGACGGCGAGGAGAGCGACGACACCGCGTACGATCGGCGCTGCGGCATCTCACCCAGCGATTTACCGTGACGTCATCTTCGTCTGTTTGTCTTGGTTTGACGACACGTTTCCACTTTCAGCATCAAAACCGAGAAACATCCAGTAGAGACGACGCAGAAACTCACACAAGCTGCGTTTCCATGACCAACGGCCACAAACTTTGACATTCCACCTTCCTTCCTTCCTTTTTTCTTTCCTTTTTTCCCTCCTTCCTTCCTTTTTTCCTTCCTTCCTTCTTTCCTTCCTGCCTTCTTCCCTTCCTTCCTTCTTCCCTTCCTTCCTTCTTCCCTTCCTGCCTTCCTTGCTTGTTTCCTTGCTTCCTTCTTCCGTTCCTTTCTTACTTCTTTCCTTCCTTCTTTCCTTCCTTCTTCCCTTCCTTCCTTCCTATTTTATAAATTTGCTAGAAAACTTCAGGACATTTTCTGAGTTTCAAAATTTTCTGAGAAGCCAAAATTTGTATTTTTGAAACTCAGAAAATTTCCAAGTTTTTTCTCAAGAATTTCTGAAACTAATCTCAACATGTCTTAAGTTTTTTTCTAGAAAATTCCAGAGATTTCTAGAAACAAATTCTAGATTTTCTTTCTTCCGTTCCTCCATTCCTTCCTACATCATAAATTTTCTAGAAAAAAAGCGGACAATTTCAAAAGTAAATTTTTTTTCCTCAAATTTCTGAAATGTTTTAGATTTTTTCCCTCCATTCCTTCCTTCGTCATAAATTTGCTAGAAAATAACTTAGAAGTTTCAAAAGTCAAAAAGTTTTGACTGAACTTTTTGAGAGTTTAATTCTCAACTTTCTCAAAAAAGATGAAAATTAAATTTTTTTGAGAAAGTTTCATTCTCAAAAATTTCTGAAGTTAAATTGAAAATTTCTTAGATTTTCCAGAATTTCTTTCTTCCGTTTTTCTTTCCTTCTTTAATTCTTTCCTTCCTAAAACAGACACATTTTTAATTTATTTTATTAACTCTCATTTATTTAATAAATTAAAACAGTCAAAAATATCTGAACTTGTTCTGAAAAGTTTTTCTTCAGTTCCAGCTGCAAAAGTTTCTGCTTATAAACTATTTATTGATCTGATTATAATCAGATCTCAGTTTCTTTAAATGTGTCTGCCAGAATGCTGAAGATGTAAATTTGAAAGCATAAAACGATGAATCCGTCCAGCAGATGTTATTTTTTTACACTTCTTCGCCTTCCTGAATCTCTCTTCCGAGGTAATATTACTCAAATCATGTGAGGTTTGTACATTTATTTGTTGTGGTTTGTGTGCGATGCTGTTTTAATGTTGTATGTTTAAATCTGTTGGTGTTTTATTCTGATTTTGTCATTTAATTTCTGTATGTCGACCACCGTCCTTCACCCCTAAAGTCCCAAATCAGATTCACATCACCAGGTTCTGTGTATATTGTAATAAAACCTTATAGATTTATTTAAAGTAACTATGATTCGTTTTAGTTTTTTAAAAAAACATCTTGTGCAATCTGCAGAAGGATTTGCTGTCAGAAAGGGGTCAGAAAAATCCCAGAGACAAAGATATTACAGGATGAACAGAGACGTCACAACACACAGCGATCCGAACGCGTTTAATCCGCTCAAAGAAGAGCCAGAGACGGCGACGCGCCGCAGGGCGGCAGATGGCCGCAAAGACGTCAATCACTTTCATTCTTCCCAGACAGCATAAGGCCCGGCAGCGTCAGCGCTGCTGCAGAATCTGTATCTGTTTATATATCTATAACACAATCATAAGCATTGATAACTAATAAATGATAAAATATGATAGTTCATTGAAACTATTGTTTTTATCTCCAGTGTCAAAAGTTTGAAAACTTGGCTTAGAAACGTTTGAACCTGATTTTAGACGACAGGTTTTTCTGTCACTGAGAGAAACGTGTGTGTGTGTGTGTGTGTGTGTGTGTGTCTCTGTGTGTGTGTGTGTGTGTGTGTGTCTCTGTGTGTATGCGTGTGTGTGTATGTGTGTGTGTGTGTGTCTCTGTGTGTATGCGTGTGTGTGTGTATGTGTGTGTGTGTGGGGGGATGTGTGTGTGTCTCTGTGTGTGTGTGTGTCTGTGTGTGTGTGTGTGTGTGTGTGGGGATGTGTGTGTGTGTGTGTGTGGGGATGTGTGTGTGTGTGTGTGTGGGGATGTGTGTGTGTGTGTGTGTCTGTGTGTGGGGATGTGTGTGTGTGTGTGTGTCTGTGTGTGTGTCTGTGTGTGTGTGTCTGTGTGTCTCTGTGTGTGTGTGTGTGTGTGTCTGTGTGTGTGTCTGTGTGTGTGTGTGTGTGTGGGGGGATGTGTGTGTGTGTGTGTCTCTGTGTGTGTGTGTGGGGATGTGTGTGTGTGTGTGTGGGGATGTGTGTGTGTGTGTGTGTCTCTGTGTGTGTGTGCATGTGTTTCTGTGTGTGTGTGTGTGGGGATGTGTGTGTGTGTGTGTGTGTCTCTGTGTGTCTGTGTGTGTGTGTGTGTGTGTGTGTGTGTGTGTGTGTGTGTGTGTGTCTGTGTGTGTGTGTGTGTGTCTCTGTGTGTGTGTGTGTGTCTCTGTGTGTGTCTCTGTGTGTGTGTGTGTGTCTCTGTGTGTGTGTGTGTCTGTGTCTGTGTGTGTGTGTGTGTGTCTCTGTGTGTGTGTGTGTGTCTCTGTGTGTGTGTGTGTGTGTGTCTCTCTGTGTGTGTGTGTGTGTCTCTGTGTGTGTGTGTGTGTGTGTGTGTGTGTGTGTGCGCGTGCGTGTGTGTGTAAACATTTAGGGAATCTTGTGCCTTTGGGTTTGAGGATATTAAATCTTTGAAACACCTGACACTGACCGGAGCAGCTGTTGACCTCGGGGTCACCATGTCGGCTCTTAATGGTTTTTGTCCTAAAGCTCCTAAATGAGCTGAGCGATCATCAGAAAACCGCCTCAAGTGCATCTTGACCTTTTTCACATTTTCTCTGCTTTTGTTTGGGTTTGTAGTGCTGCTCTGATATAAAGCTTTTATATTTGTGAAGTAAAATTATGCAGTTTTATAAATAAATGTTCATTTAAAAACTGCAAAAACACAAAATCTTACCAGTGTCGGTGCAAATATCTTAGTAAATATTTGAAATAAAATAAAACTAACTTACAAGTAGCTTTTCAGAAAAATATTCAGTCAGTAATTCCTTAATATTTATTTAAAGTACTAATTCTACTGGCAGAGTTTATATGACCCGTGGAACAAAACATTTTGGTCATAAAATAGTTTTAATAATCTTTAGCCGTCACATCGAAGATTGGACAAACAAAAAACCAAATCCGCCTTGCGCCTGATCACTTACTTAAAGAGAGAAATTAAAATTAATCACCATATTTTTGAATATAGTAATCATTTATAGATTTATGCTAGCTGAATAATACTCTAACCGCTTGAAGAAAAACTAGAAACAAAACGACTCAGACTGTCAAAATGAACAGGAAGTCAAATTCACACAAGAAACGTCAAAAATACAAAATCAAAACAACAGAAATCAAGATGAAAAAACAGAACCAAACTCCTTCTGATCTTGATATTTTGGACTAAAATCATGAATCAGAATCAACTTTATTCACGCAGACTAGAAACTTGACTTACTTTCCACTTGGCAGGAAAGCAGGAGGCGGAAACTTCCTGTTTTGGATGGTTTTGCACTGAGGAGCCCAGAAACGCCGAGGCTGAGTCACGGACGCGTCTTCCATCGTGACAAAGACCCAAAGCAAACAGTCACAGCGACGAAGGAGTGGCAGCAGAAGAACCAGCCGGTGTCAGGTTCTGGCCCGACCGGTCGCCACACATCAACCCTGCAGAGGGAAAAGTTACGTTTCCCAAATAACTCAAGGATTCAGAGAGTTTCAGTGAAAATGAAGGGACTGCACTGCAAAAACACTAAATATTACCAAGTATTTTCTAGAACCTCTATTATGTTAACAGTTCCTTAATATTAATAAAAAAGTACAGATTATTTAGCTTATGACAAGATATTTTCCCCCATGTTATATGTGAAATAATCTGCTGGTGAACTTTTCATCAATATTCAGTTATTATTGACTTAAATTAGATTCTATTTCTTATTAAAAAGTTACTTCTAAGTTAATTTAGTCTTATTTTAATTGTAATGATAATTTGCACTAGAAACTGGACAAAATATTTTTTTTTCTTGTTTCTACTCCAAATATCCTTAAAATAAGACAAAACTAACATACAAAAGTAACTTTTTAGAAAGATATATCAGCTTGTTTTAAGTCAATAACTCAATATTTATAAAAAAAAATAATAGCAGAGTGGAACTATTACTTTTTATGAAAATTGTTGACTTAGAGTAAGCTCCTATTTTTTTCTGAAAGCTACTTATAAGTTAGTTTTGCTTTATTTAAAGTGTATTAATGTATTTGCATGTTAAACTAGTCTAAATTACTTGGTAATGTTTTGTATTTTTGCAGTGTAGCTTCAGTTTCAGGTAATATCAAAATAATCTGTGTTCTGCAGTGAAAGTTTCACAACTTAATCTTGACTTAAATCTTTTTGATCATGTGGTATAAATGAGTGATAACAAGTTAAGATGGCAGATTTTCTTTAAGCGTCCGGTCATAAATCAAAGCCAGTGAAAGAAGGAAGCGTCTGTTTTATGACAGTCTGACCTCTAGAGGTTGAATCCTTCCTCACACCAGCCTGACTCATAAAATCCTGACGTTTCCCAACAGAACCGGAAAAATGTCAGCAGCAGAATCATCCGTCATCCGTTGTGTTTCTGCCTCGGCTTTAAGCCTCGTCATGCTTTAGAAAACAAAAAGAAAAACTCTTTTCATTTTCATGATCATCACATTCTCCGGGAGTCACTGCACTGTGAGTCATGTGGAAGGCATGCAGAAATAAAACATGATCTTTTCTAAGTAAAGGACGTACATGTATACATGGAAACATCTGCAGACAACATGGCGTCCTCAGCCTAATAAACGACACGCATCCATTTAAAGACCTGCAGTCAAACGACTTCAGGTGAAGAAACATTTTTTGCTGCTTTGGAGCGTTTATTCTGACTGAATAATACGAAAAGAAGAATTCTGCAAGCGTTCCTGTTCTACAAATATATTTATACACTTTAATAAGTTTTCAGCAAGAATTAAACAAGTAAATAATTCCTTAAGACTGATTTTTTTTAAATACTAGATTATTTCACTGATAACATTTCCCCCTTGTTGTAAGAAAAAGTAATTTTTTGGACAATTACTTTTTACTTTTACTTAATTTTTCCTCATTTTCTTATTTTGTATGACAGAATTAGAGCCATGTGAGGAAAAACAGTTATGAGAAGAAAATTGTAGTATTTTATTTGCAGTGTTCTTGAATATAATATTCAAATAATATGAATAAATGTTTCATTATTTTGAAGAACAATAATTTGAAGTAATTTTTTAACTTATTTTAAATTTGTAAAATAAATTCTGTTTTATAATTTGAATTTTTTAAATTCTTGTAATTAAATTTTTTTAGTGTGGTGCTAATACTTTTGTAATTATTTACTTTTACTTAATTTTGCCTGATTTTGATGTTTTGCATTAAGAAGAGCGTTAGAGTCATGCGAAAACAAACATTTCCGAGAACAAGGCCGTATTACAACGTTATGCTTGTAATTTCATGACTATTTTCTTGCAGTGTTTCTCTAATGCTCGACAAATGAACTCCATGAAAATGTTGGATTTTTCAGTGTTTCATTTTGCCATGAAAGTCTGATTTATTTGAACATTTTTAAAGGTGGCGAACGCTGCCATAGCTTTGCAGTAACCAGAGAAACAACAAACAGGAAACAAAACAAAGTTTACTTCTCGACTTTGCAAAATGTCACACAAAACTCTGAGCAACGAGAATCAAGGTAACCTGCTGAATTTGTGTTCAAATTCAACCTGTCGTACCTTAAAGGTGACGTTTCCTTGAACAGCTTAGGAAAGGTCTACACAAAACATCTTTGACAATCAGATTTTCGGTTGATTATTTTCAGCTTCCTTCAGAATGAGCTCCCTGTTTTAGGGCGTCTTGTCACTTTAAATCCAATCGACGTTTACACTCGCGTGTGGAAATGGCCGCAAACAGATGCACAATTATACAATCGAGCATCTTTGAAAAGCACCCAAAACCAACAAGAACGCAACAATAAAACATTCATCTTTTCCAGCAGCCATTGTACAGCAGTAAAACCAGCTGACCAAACATGCTGACGCTCAGCTTGGGTTGCTAGGGCAGTAACTGATGATTTGTGACATTATAATAGTCAGTATATTTTTCAAAATGCTCAATTTTTTAGATACCAAAAAACAGTAACTTATTGCCAAAAAATGGTTGAGTGTTTTGTTAAGCATTTGGGTTGTTATTAGTAGCAACAGAGACCCAAAACGAAGTACATAAACGTGCAAAAAGTGTCAGAGTGAAAATGTTTTTTGTCACACTTGGGTAACCAGAGGTTCTTTGAGAGTTAATTTCATCCCTTGCTGATCTCTTCCTCCCTGTTCTGCACAAAGCACAGCCAAGAGGTTCCCGTTGAGCGGCGGACATATTGCCCTGCTTTGTTCATGCAGAAGCGCACGATCCCCCATGAATTCAGGATCCTGATCCGTCCCATCGTCTTCGTCGTTCTCTTCGTCGTCCTCTTTGTTGTCTTCCCAGAGCGATGTGGAGACATGGTGGTACTCCCTGCTGTCCTCGCACTCCATCCCTCGGTGGTAGAAGTAGCTGAAGTTTGAAACGATGACGGGAACCGGCAAGGAGATGGTGAGCACACCCGCAATGGCGCACATGGAC